AAAAAAAAAAAAATTACATGGATAAAGTTGAAAAAGCCAAATGGTACTATAAGGCTTCTGTTGAAAAACAGTAGCAGCTCTTTGCCACCCTCACCCTGGTCTGGCTTTCTATAGCCAGATCACTTTCAACTCCTGTGTCTTCTGTGATTTACCTCCGTATTTCTAAATTACAGATTTGTATAGCTGTTAGTTTATTTTTACAGTTACAGTCTTCATCTGTTGGAGCCCTTTTGTGGAAAGATGATCATCTCGTTTACAACATCCCACTTCTCTCCTTAAGTACTTGCCCCCCAGTTTAGTGTTTATTCAGAATTTATATTTTTATGACCAAAGGCACTTTGTATATGGAGATTACCTTTCTTGCACAGCTTACTTTCCCAGATTTAATATTTTTTTGATTCACCCCAATCTTACAGAACCATAAAAGTATAAAATTCCTCTTAGTGTAGTCTAAAACATGAGGTGATCATCTGTTTCATTCTCCCCCATACTTTCTCTATCCTCCCACCCCTCACCACTCACCTCAGAAATACTTTTTTTTTTTTAAGATTTTATTTATTTATTTGAGAGAGAGAGAGAGGAGAGGGAGAAGCAGACTCCCCAATGAGCAGGGAGCCCGACGTGGTGCTTGATCCCAGGACCCTGGGAACATGACCTAAGCTGAAGGCAGACGCTTAACCGACTGAGCCACCCAGGCGCCCCTCAGAAATACTTTTCATAGAACCTGTTTGCCACCCTTGTGTTTGGGGTCTCAAACATTTGGCATGTGACATTCTGGGATCTGTTTGGGAGTAGGGGGAGGGGACCAGGGCGCTCATCACTGAATAACTGAGTTTCACTTTATCCTCTTTTTTTTTTTAAACTAACACAGAGCTTTTGCTTATTTATTTTAATTCCAGTATATTGTACATACAGTGTTAAATGAGTTTCAGATGTACAATATAATGATTCAAAATTTCTGTCTCATGATAAGTGTACTCTTTAATCCCCATCATCTATTCCACCCATTCCCCACCCACCTCCCCTCTGGTAACCATGTTTGTTCTCTATAGGTAAGAGTCTGTTTCTTGGTTTGCCAAGTTTTCCCCCCTTTGCTCATTTGTTTTGTTTCTTAAATTCCACATATGAGTGAAATCATGGTGTTTGTCTTTCTCTGACTTATTTCACCTAGCATTATACTCTTTAGCTCCATTCATGTTGTTGTAAATGGCAAGATTTCATTCCTTTTTATGGCTGAATAATACTCCAGTGTGTGTACGTACGTGTGTGCGTTTATGTGTATACACTACATTTTCTTTATCCATTCATCTATTAATGGATACTTGGGCTGCTTCTATAATTTGGCTATTGTAAATAATCCTGCAGTAAACATAGGAGTGCATGTATCCCTTTGAATTGGTGTTTTCGTATTCTTTGGGTGGATACCCAGTAGTGTGATAACTGGATCATATGGTAGGTGAGGATGTGGAGTAAAAGGAACCCTTGTGCAGTGTTGGTGGGAATGCAAGCTGTGTAGCCACTGTGGAAAACAGTATGGAGCTTCCTCAAACAATTAAAAATAGCACTTTAGGGGCGCCTGGGTGGCTCAGTCGTTAAGCGTCTGCCTTCGGCTCAGGTCATGATCCCAGGGTCCTGGGAT